TTAGATGTCACTTTTAACACAGATTGTTTAATTTCCTCTTAACGCTGGGGTTTTAACACTATATACACAATTTATGTATTAGCCGGCCGGCAATAACCCATTAAATTCAGTAAATAAATTAGCTTTGGTGGACGAATAAACCACCCCTCTCATACATTGCAATGTAATTACTGACGTTGATTGTTTCAACTCTTATAATTTAAACCAAAACATAAGAAGTTATAGTAAAAACATTGACGAATTTCTAGTTTTATTACAAGGTATTAAGTAAATTTAATTGTATTATTCTATCAGAAGCATGGTCGAATCATCAGGGTGACCTTATGCACATAGATGGTTATAATACTTTCAGAAGCTATAACAATCTGAATCAAAGTGAGGGTATCGTTGTCTACATCGATGACTCGTTATCAGTGTCCTGCAATCAGCTGCTGCTCGGTGGCGTGGCTACGAGCTTGTCCTTGACCTTCGACTGGACCGGGGCAACATGTAACCTGCTCTGTGTATACCGCAGTCCGAATACATCTTTACAGATATTTAACGGCAACTTGAAAGAATTTTTAGAATTTAACACAATAAGTTCTCAGATAAATGTTTTGGCAGGGGATTTGAATTGCGATAGTATTCAAACTCACAAGAAGAGCGGTACCTCAATATCCTGTCCGACTTAGAATTCATTGATTGCATTGAAGTAACACGTCCTTTGTTACAAAGACAAAATGTCTTCCCATATTTTTAAAAAGTGATAACGATCCTTGCCCCAGACTCCTACACTTACACTCCTGTGGTGATCCGCAGAGAACAAGTGGCACAATATAAGTACTTAGTCGTTGCCATGGATCAGAAATTAAGCTGGATTCCACATGTTTTTGGTATGTTAAACAGAGGCTGAGAAGGTTGGTCTATGCTTTCGTTCAGCTGGGCCAGGTGTTGACGGTGGATCACTGCAGGATGGTGTACTACGCCTACGTGTAATCGGTGCTTCAGTACAGAACTTTAGCTTGGGGTGGTGTCTCATCCGCTGTGCTGGAGCCCTTGTTCATATCACAGAAATCTTTAATAAAAAACATTCTTAAAAAACCACTCTGATATCCAACAGATCAACTCTTTATTGAATTCCCAGTAATGAATATTAGGCAATTACGGAAAGTAAATAAAAGAAACGTCTTATAACACTTAAAACATATATTTACGCTTATACTGTTACTCACAAGATGGTAAATATACAAAAAAGATGGTAAGTGGTGATCGATTTCGATTGGACACTCCAATCATCATCAGACCCAATAGGCGAATGACAAGAATCTTAATGGCGTCCCTATTGGCTACCGGAAGCACCGGCCAATACATTTTTATAAGTACAACTGGAATCAAAATGTATTTGTTCATTAATCAACTTATTTCTATTTTTACATTTTTCCTTATAAATATACAATTCTTCCCAAGCATTCATTACATATCCTTTCTTATTATTCAGATTATTGGTGGTAGCTCTTGAGGGTGCGGGTGAGACGACAACGCGGCATGTCAAGGTGTAGTGCTTGCCGGGTGTCATAGCGGTGGTGAACTTCTCTTCGGTCAAACAGATGGACATTCTCTTTCAGGAGTATTAGGATGTTCAATACATATTGACTGAAGACTGTAAGAATGCCCAGATCTTTAAAAAGGGGCCTACAATGTTCGTTGTAGTCGGCTGACATTATGATTCTTACAGCTTTTTTCTGGAGCAATAATATGTCCTGTGCTGCTGGTGAATGACCCCAAAGTACCAAGCCGTACATAAGATGGCTATGAAACAGAGCATAGTACACAGTTATCGAGAATTGCTTCGGCATGATGTTCCGAAGTTTCCTTAGGAGGCAAATAACCCTAGATAGCCGTGCGCATACCCTATCAATATGTGAGCTCCAGCTTAGTTTGGGATCCAACCAGAAACCTAGAAGTTTAACCGCCTCATCTCTTTCGGTTAGTGGCTTCAGTGCCAACCAGAAACCTAGAAGTTTAACCGCCTCATCTCTTTCGGTTAGTGGCTTCAGTGTGCAGAGCAAGGACTGAGTCTTAGCTGCATTTAATTTCAGGCGGTTTGCTGTAAACCAGTTCTTGGCCAGCTCCAAAAGATGGTCAGCTTCAATATGCAGTTGCTCAATGTCGCTTCCTCTAGATATCAGAGTGGTGTCGTTAGCGAATAGGAGGGTGGAGCCATTTAGCCTCAAATCGTTCACCGCTACACTAAATAGGAGATACAGTGTGTAAGGTTGTGTATGTGTGAGATGTCTGCTATAGTGTCCAGTGGGTCCATGTGCTGTAACAGAGGCATACTTTTAATTATGTCATCAGCTACTTTTGCTAAATAGTCATTAAAATCATCCAGTGAAGCCACAATGGGGGGATGGCGTTAGATTTCCTATGCTCATTTACAATTCCCCAAGCAGCCTTACAGGTGTTTGAGGACCTCATGATGAAGCTAGCGTTATAATCTTTCCTTGCTCTTTTAACTTTAGAACTGTAGTCCTTCTTAATGTTACAGTAAAGATGGAAGAGACGAGTTTTTTGATCTTCATCAGGAGAACTTTTAAAGCGATCATGTACTAAGATCATAAGTTGACGGATTTTGGCTAATTCCGGAGTGTACCATGCATTTGTCTTGGGTTTGGAGTTATTAGGCCTACTAACAGAATTACTATTTTGTTTCGGTTTTGATATTTTTACTGGAAAAACATCATCAAAAGCATCTTGGAAAAGTTTGGAGAAACTGTAAAAAGCAAATTCAGGCTCTACAATGCTACTAATCGGGTCCCAATTTACAACTTCCAGTTTACTGTAAAGCAGCGGCAAGCTTTCCTTATTTACAGGTCTCTTATTAACTAAGTATTTACCATGCCAAGAGGGAGTATTTCTTACCTGTTCAGTTTTTACCGTTAATAGCACAGCCCCATCATGATCCGCCACCAGGGATTTGACAACCTTTGAGTCACAGTCCCAAGAATTGATGTTTGTGGCTACGACATCCAGGCAGGCCTAAAATTAAAATTAAAATCTGGTTGGAGTTCTTGTTGATACGTGGAGGTCGTAACTTCTCAGCAAATTGATGAAAGCTGCTTCTTCTTTTGACGGCTGCTCGAGGTGAACATTAAAATCCCCACAGATAATCAGTTCAAAAGTAGGCTTACACAAGTAGTTAAGGCATAGGTCTAGCTGGTGTAGGAAAAGGTCAAATGCTCCATCTGGGGATCTGTAAACTGACACTATAGCAATAGGTCTGGATAGGTTGGTTATCTCCACTGCACTAAGTTCTAGAACCAGCTCAATAGTAAAATTTGTCACATCTATTGGTTTACAATTAAATTTTGCTGCTGTGTAAATTGCCACACCACCATTTTTGTGTTCCTTGCGGCAATAAAGTCTGCTTGTTGCAGACCACACAATTTCCAAGCTATTAAGCCAGTGCTCTGAAATGCAAAAAATTTCACACTTTTTCTCCTCTACAAAGAGTGAGACCAAGTCCAGCTTGGTTCTAAGGCACTGGACATTCAGTGACACAATAATTAAATTAGTCTTATTTACATTATTTACAAGTGACGGAACACTAGGCCTAGGCCAAGTACCACAACAGTTTAGATCATCACCCACAGTTTTTGCACTTAATCCTAAGTTTTGTTGGTTACAATTTAAGTTGTTACTGTCCTGTAGAAGGTAATCCCTAAAAAAGAACCATTGACACTCTCACGCCTATTCTTCTATTCTTCTATTCTTATATGGGACGTAGGCTCTTGCAAGTACCCCTTTGGGCCATAGGCTAGGGTTAAGAATTTTCCCTTCAAAGTCACCAGGAACTCCCACCTTGTAGGATTTATATGTCTTGAAATTTGTTTTAAGTTCTCTGCACTCGATGTCTGATATTCCCTGACCTGCCAGATGCTGAGAAATCTCTTCGTCCGATGTACTTGGTGATAGTCTGGATACGAAGAAGTGAGAACGCTTGTTCGCAGGTTTCAAGCTAGTAGATACACCATTCAGATGCCATCAGAAATAGCTTGGTGGATAGGCCACTGTACTCACTGGAGGAGCTGAGTAAAGAACCCCTAAAAGTCATATAAAAGCCTTCATTACAAATGGGGAACACGTTTTATTTACCGCCACAGCCTGTTTAAGTTGTATTGTTTATATGTATGTAAATAGTAGTGTTTATTTTTAAATGTATATAATAACGCAGTCTATCCGACATTGTCGGTCAACGACGCAGCTCACAAGTATCAAGTAAGTATCAAGTATTCATTAAACCACTATAACTCAAACAAGCAACAAATATTTACAGAAATATCACATTGCTATCCCACTAGAAAGCGGATAAATTTTGGCCTTCCATCCGACATTATCGAGGCGGAGGGTGGCAGTGTTGCTGTGTACAAACGCAGGATTGGCGAGTGGCTCGCATGTATCGGGTGGGCGGCTGCAGAGGTGTTGATACAGTCCATTTACACAGTATAATTTTGAAAATACTTAACTGAAAAAGATGATTTTGCCACGGCTGATGTCAGAATTCAACCATGATTTTGATTTTGTCACCCCTTTCTGTAATTTTTAGTTAGTATGACCCATTTTATTCAACTTTTGTTTGAATGTATTACCATTACTATGGACTTTCGTCTCTGTTTAAATTAAGTTAAGGGTTTCCTTTCTAATATTTCTATTTATATAAGTTTTTGTTTCTTTTTTAATTCCTAGTAGCTGTAGTTAATTGCATCGAACAATTTTTCAAAACTCTGTTTGAAGCCTAACAATAATTTTCAAGAACTCTTTCCCCCATCACAGATCGACAGTCTATCTGGGTAATGTAATTCTGTTGTAATGTTTCATTTTTTGAATAAAAGTATTTTGATTTGATTTGATTCTTAATTGAATATGCCAGCTTGAAATTTTTTTTATGAAAAATGATTAAACCAACCTTAAATCAAAAGTTAGGAGTCAAAATGAAATGTTTGGTTTGTTCCATTATTCAGCTGCAGCACTTGGCACTCTTATTGGTGGAAGGATTGGAGTAGTCACCCTTGCTACCGCCTACCACACAAATGCACTTACAATTGCCATTCGTTACTCAGCCGTGAGGAAACAGTTTGGACCGGGGGAGGAGGAACTTTCTGTCATTGAATACCAGTTGCAGGTATTGTTATGATTTGATTTTAAGGCCATGGGTCATGGATGTTGTAATGTCTAACTTACATATTCACATTGCCTGCCTAATTTGTTATAACATATGGTTTATGTTATATTTCTATATTGTTATGAGTTTGTTTATAGTTGACCTGTTTACATTCAGTATTCTATCTTATTCTCAATAGACAATAGAAAATAGACAATAGACAAAATCTTTATTGAAATATTTCTAGAGAACATTCATGCGTCAGGTACATAAAATGTACAGTATGTACATAAACTATTACAGTCATTTGCAATTACAATTAGATTTTTTTTCTCTTTTTAGCGAATTTCCCATATAGGGAATAAGCTATTACCGTAGTACTCATGGTAAGACCTGGACGCGGGACCGATTTTTTTTTTCGTTTTGATGTCCCTAGAGGCCAAAAACACTATCCGTTCAAATTCATATATATATATATATATATGTCCGTCAGCACGATAACTCGAGCAAAAATGATCCGATTTTGATGAAATTTGGTACAAACGTGTAAACGTACGTTTATTCGAACGAGTTCGCGATCCAGCATGATCGGACCATGGGAACGGGGGTTTACGGGGGGTTTTATGGGGTAAAAATAGGTTTTTCCCATTTTTGACCCAAAAAACATAAAATTTAGCAATTTCTTTCCAAACCATTTTGTAGAGCTTAAAAAAACAAATAATTTAGTATATTGAAGCGTTATTATGCGCCTAATGGTTACGGAGAAAATTCCAAAAAATTGTAAATTTAAAATTCCCATGTTATTCTTATGGAGAATAAGTAAACTGTTGTAGTTTGCTTGTTTGTGAACATATTTTGATCAAATTTGGAAAATGTTTTTATTTCTTACTAACTATTCACATTTTACAAAAAAAAAACAAAAAAAAACAGTTTTACCCTCCCTGATGCAGCAAACCTAAGTACTTGTTAAACTAATTCTATTTAAATCAAGAATAAATGTTATATTTTTAAGTAGACATTTCAGTGTAAATCCAATCAGTCAAATGGAAATTCGCTTAGTCTGCAGGTTTGCTGCGGCGGGGGTATATTTTTCATTGTAGCTTATTGTTTAAGAATTCATCCTCAGAGTAGAACGGCCGGTCCAAAGCCAGGTTGTCAGGTGCTTCTTGAACAGTTTGGGTTGTTCTCTCTTAAAGTGCTCTGGTAGGTTGTTAAAGTACAGAGCACCTTTGTAGGATGGTTTCTTCTCGTACAGACTCAGATGGTGTTGTGGGAGGGAAAAATTGGCGTGATGCAAAATTGTGCTGGTGTATGTCTCTGTGTGCTGGACTAGGCTGTTTTAGGGGTGTAGATAATGACTTCTCTTATGAAGAGTGAAATTGATGTGAGAATTTTAAGGTTCTTGAAGGCTTCTCGGCAACTGTCTCTATAGTTTAGGTCGGCAAGGCATCTGATTGCTCTTTTTTGCTTTAGGAGTACTCTTTCCAGGTTGCCTTTTGATGTCCCACCCCAAGTCGCAATGCCATATCTGAGGTGGGACTCGAATAGAGCAAAATATGCAACTTTGGCTACTTCTGGACTGCAAGCTTGCTTGATCCTACGTATAACGTAGAGGGACTTAGCTTTTTGCAGAGCTGGTCTATGTGGGGTTTCCATGATAGCTTGAGTCAATTATGATGCCTAGGTATTTTGTGGTATTTTGTGGTATTTTGTGTTTGTAGTCCCGGTATTGTAATGTCTGTGTTGTTGCGTTTGGTGGTGAAAGTCATTTGAACGGTTTTGCTTTCGTTTAGAACTAGGTCGTTCGAGGTACAGTATTGCTTTGTTCTCTGGAGTTGAGTGTTGGTTTTCTCTTCCAGATTTTCCATTGTTTTATCCGCAAATGTGAGAACCGTGTCATCTGCGTACATGGTGGTGTGTCTATCTTCCCCAATTCAACTAGGTAGGTCATTCGTGAGAAGGAGGAAAAGGACTGGGCCAAGTACTGATCCTTGGGGTACTCCTCTTTGCACGTCTACAGCTTTGGATTGGGCCTTATACTTTGTGCTGTTCTTAATGTAGGCTATTTCCACAAGCTGTTTCCGGTTACTAATGTAGCTTTTAAACCATTCTGCTGCTCTTCCTCTCACACCCAGTGTTTCCAGCTTGAGTAGAAGAAGTTCGTGGTTTAGGCAGTCGAAAGCTTTACTAAAATCTAGGAAGAGGCTTGTTGAAGTGTTGCCTTCTTCTAGCTGGTCTAGTATGTGCTCCCTCAGTTGTATTAAGGCTGTGGCTGTCGATCTGCCTTTGATAAATCCATGCTGTTGACTATTGAGAAGGTTGTGTTCTTGAAGATGGTGTAGGAGTTGGGCTAGTACTATCTTTTCGATTATTTTTGAAAACGTTGATATTAGGGAGATTGGCCTGTAGCTGTTTCTTTCTATTGTTGGTCCATTTTTGTATTTTGGGTAGACTTTAGCTATTTTTAATTTATCTGGGAATTTTCCTTGTGAGAGTGATTTATTTATGAGTACTGTCAGGGGTATTACTATTTCATTCTAACAGTTTTTTAGAAGTTTAGCTGATACCTCATCAGCTCCGGATGGATTTTTCATCTTTAGAGATTGAATGGCCTTTTGCACTTCTTCTTGTGTGACCCGTCTGAACTGGAGTGTGTGATGTGTTGCTGGTAAGTGGTCTGTTTTGGCATTGGTTCTAGAGTTATTGTTACTTTGGAGTGTTCGGTCGGCTATTGATGAGAAAAAATCATTAAAACAGTTTGAAACTTCTATTGGGTCGTCTATTGTTTTATTGTTGATTTGAAGATGGATTTGGTTTTCAGTATTTGATCTCTCTTCCCTTTCTCGGTTTATTGTTTGCCACAGTGCTTTAGACTTGTTTTCAGCCTGATTTATCTGAGCTGTGTTGTTTTCTTTCCGAAGCGTTTTCAAATGCTGGTCGTACTCCTTTTTTTATAGTTGTTCTGGCTTTGTCTTCCATAAGTCCGGTTGTTTGCTCCTTTTCTAAGGCCTTTATATATTCATTTTTTAGTCTAGCCGATTCTTGATTCCAGCACTGTCTACTTTCATGTTGTTTAACTCTTGACGTTTTAAGAGGGCAGGTGTGGTTTAGTGTTGTCTGGATGATGTTGCTGAAATTGTTGTAGGCTTCATCTAAGTCATGAGTTTGTATTATAGTTTCCCAGTCTTGTTCTTGTAGTTGTGTCTTAAAGTTATCTATTGTTGTTTTAAATAAATAAATAAAAATGCCTTTATTTCCGAGCGTCTCTCAGTACAAATATTACTGTTTTACAGAGTAACTCAGGTCAAAACTAACTAAAAATACAATACTATTATAATACAAGACATCGTGTGATAAAATAAAAATATAAAATATATATATACAACTATTTTACAATATTAATACGTTTTTTTAAGTTTCGTTTAAAAGCCAGGACCCCCAGCTGTTTTAGGTCCAAGGGGAGATCATTGTAAATCTTTGGGCCAAAGTATGAAAACCCTTTCCTACCCACTTCCAGGCGCACTTTTTGAAAGTGGAGCAAGGCGTTGTGCCGGGTCTCGCGTTGGGTCATCTCCCCACGTGCCACAAGCCTTTCTACCAGGTACTTAGGCTCTTGCTGAACCAAGACCCGGTGGATGAGGCTACAAGTCTGCGCCCTGCACACGGCACCCATTGACAGCAACCCCGCAGCATCCCGGAGTGGGGATACTCGTTCACGCTTACGGATACCGTAAACGAAACGAACGGCGGAGTTCTGCACTTTTTGCAAACGGGACATCTCTTCCCTTGAGATGCTGTTTCCGAATGCAGGGAGACAGTAATGGAGCACTGACACCACTAGTGACTGTACCAGCTGCAGCTTGGCTGTCTCTGGCAGGATGTTTTTGTACCGGTACAGACCACGCAACCTTCCCAAAGCCACCTGGGAAACATAAGTGATATGGTCCGAGAATGTGAGGCCACTGTCAAGTACCACACCCAACGTCTTGACAGTATCTCTCACCAGTAAAGGGTTTCCTGTGAGTTGAACTTGCATGTCTCCATTTGCAACTCTGTGAAGAGTAGTGGGTGGAGCAATATGAAGAACAGTGCATTTGTCAGCGTTCAATTTCAAACCATGTTTGCGTGACCATTCACTTACTCTCACCAGATCAGAGTTCACTCCTGCAAAAGCTTGCACAGTGGCCTGAATCTCGTACGAGAAATGCAATTGGCAATCATCAGCATATGAATGCACATTGCAGTGCCTCACACATCTGGACAGATCTGCAGTGTACAGGGTAAACAAAATGGGCCCCAGACAACTCCCCTGAGGTACTCCCCTTGATTTCTTAAGGGGAGGTGAGATATCGGTACCCACCCTGGTCACTTGCAGTCTGTTTTCCAGGTAGGATCCAAACCAAGTGATTGCATCACAATGAAAACCAAAATGTTTCAATTTTGCCAGGAGTAAACTATGGCTTATGGAATCAAAGGCTTGCGAGAAATCAAGCATGACTACAGAGCTACACCTGCCTCCGTCCCTCGCCACAAACAAGTCTGCAAACATATTTAGCAATGCAGTACAGGTGCTATGGTTCTTTCTGAACCCTGATTGTAGTTTGGGAAGCAGATTCTCTGCATCTAAAAACTCTGCTAATTGGCGAATTACTAATTTTTCCAGTATTTTGGACATGGCTGGCAAGACTGATATTGGCCTTAAATCATTAAAGTTCGAGGGGATCTGCTTTTTGGGCAATGGATGTACCATACTTTTCTTCCACGCCTGTGGGAATTCACTCTTTTCTAGAGATACATTCATTAGGTGAGTTATTGCATCAATCGCAAATGGGCTGACGGATTTAATCATTGCAATGCTTATTTCATCAACACCGACAGCTCTAGATGTAATTTCATTAATAGTTTCCCTCACTTCGGGTACTGATATTTTTTTAAACTGGAATTTATTTGTATTTGTATTATGTGTATCTTCACTGTATGATTTAATCAAATCTGCATCAGCTTCAAAAAATGATCCCATT